TAAGAGCATAAAATCATGGACGATATTTGGTTCGCAAATACATTAGATACTCATTTTGTGTTTCAGAGACATCGCAAAACCGTATAAATCTTTAACACAGTAATTTTTCAAAGATTACATCTACTCAGCACTCACTTGGTCAGTTCGGCGAAATGGTTATAAATAAGTTCAAAATTATGCATACAATTCACAGAGTTCATCATTTTAGCTGTGTTGGTCTATACGATAAGTAGAATCTTAGGAATGATAGCAACAGGGACATAAGAAAGCTACTTAAGGTCGTTTTAAATATGCAATGAAGACTAGTAAGCATTTTATGCCGGGAAACATTTATACTACATTTAGTTTCCGTATACACTTAGGAAAAAGAAGAGTACCATGAGGAACTGAAACGGCAGTTGGTTAATCTTAATCAAGAAAAGGAGAAAAGTATTTTGAAGCAAATCCAGCTTACTAATAATATAAATGATGTGACGATACAATTAGAATACTCACGACAAGAAATTGGACAGCAAAAGTTAAGGGAAAAGCATATTCAAGAACAAAATCAAAGACTGGAAAATCACAAAATCGAGCTACAGAAGCAAAATGAAAGTATTACAGATGAACTGTTGTCTTTGAAAGAAAAATTGAACCAGCAAGCTGATGAAATAAAACAGAAGCAAGATGAAGTTGAAAGTTTAAAAGAGATAATTGATCTTAAAAATACTGAGAACTCCAAAAGCAGCAAGAAGGTGGTAAGTCCTAATTAAATATAAATATAAAAATCAAGGATAAAAAGCTAAATGAATCCATGAATCTTATAGAAAAGCTTAGAGAACAGACCAAAGAACTGAATCAGGAAAAGGTATTTTATTTTATATTAAAGCTGTAGTTGTTTAATGTATATTATGGGCTGATTATAAGACATGTTTTAACACAAAACAATTCAAAACACCAACATGCAATTGATAAAAGATTATATTATTCACTTTAGATCAAGATTAATCAAATATTGATGACCATGAGTAGAGCTAAGGAAAACATAATTTTTGATGATTTTCAAGTTCGTTCAGTGTTACAAAACGAACGCTGCAGTTTATGCAAGAAAGAAATGCATTACGATGTTTCTTAATACAATGCTGTTTTAGTGTAGAATGTTGAGCTGCCCTGTAGGTGCATAGAGTACAGGAAAATGGTTTTTCTCCCGTATGCTTCCGGAAATGAGTTTTTAAATGACTTTTCTCGACAGTTTGGTAAGAACAGACTGAGCATTTAAATGGTTTGTTTTTAGTATGAGTCGACATTATATGTTTTTGTAAATGTACTTTTTGTGAGAACTCTCTTTTGCAGTATTCACAGATAAAATTCGATAGTGACTTCCGTTCACCACAAACAAGCGGTGTTTGTGTACAGTAAGTTACTTCATTACACAGCGACGTCGTATCTGGGTTTGAAGTATTCGAGACCTTCAAAGAATTATCTCTGAATTCGGATTCTGCTTCGCCATCAGAATCACGGGAAAACAAAATTGGACATGAAGACATTTGAGTACAGGGAGAACTTCCATCCACAAGACAGCATGTTTTACGAACAACCGAAGGAATAGAGCTACTAGGACCCACTGAACTGTAGTTTGTTGAGCAAGAACTTAATACTGATGGCACTTGACTCACCGACTGACAGGGTGCCAACTTCCCATCGTTTGAATTAATCGAGTTATGGCTACTTTTGTCTTCAGTGACGATAAAGGATGAACTTGTTGTGTCTGAGACTGACATTACTTCCTGTAGGAATCCATTACTGTCGTTAGCCATGCTTGACGATCTATGTTTCATTATGGATATTCTATGTGCACATTCAACATGCGCAATAAGATCTAATGGTGAGATATAACATTCATCACAGTGAGAACATTCCAAAAATAGCGGATTGCCAAAACTTAGTCTGGAACAACCATCTGATTTATGTTGTATAAATTGAGTAATTGCGCATAAACGAAAAATTCTAGCACACGTACCACAGAATAAGGAGTCAAACATAGTCTCGACTGAAATGAGTATGTGTTTAGAAATAACGAGACGGTTTATTTTCAATGATCTTTTCTAATCAATCACACTGTATTTACACTTTAAACCATAAAAAACACACTGAATGTTAAATAATTCCATTGATTTTGGTTGTATGTGCACAATACTAGACGAAAAGTTTCCAATAGAAAACAAAGTAATAATGCACACTAAAAAACAAGGTCATACGAAAATGACCTGCAAGTATTGATATTATTACCAAAAGTTTTCATTTGACGATTTCTAATTCAAACTAATAGTAATGATAAATTTACGCAGCACCTCACCTCTACATGCTACAAATAGTTCGTCACAAAATAAAATGCTAATACTAGTATATTGGGTAAACATTTAGTGTTCACTCACAACATTGGAATATCGATTCTGGCAGGCAAGAGTACTTCACTCTACCTAATCAAACGATATACATTCGTAGATTAGTACCTGGTTGTAACTTTGAATTATAGATTACATTTCCCATACAAAGTAACTCAAATTTTCAATAAGAATGTTCAGAACCCTTTTCATTCTATCGATAGTAGGAAACGATTCGTTCTTTTAAAAGGCCCACAAATTTAAACGTATATAGTTGAGTGAAATATCTCTCGAAAAGAATCTTCAAGAAAATTGATATACTTAATCGATATTTGTAAGCTATCTTATGAATGTACGTATCAGTACAATCTTTAGTGATAGGTTGTTGAATATGAGCAATAAATCTACAAGTTTAACCGTTTGTTTCAATTAAAGAAAATCTGTCATCCAGAATCTTAAGGAGTCCAAGTATGACTGATGTACCAAGTTACAATTTCGTAAGTACGAGCTAGGGGTGGGATAAATAAATATTCCAGATCCCTATAAGAAATATTAGTCATATATATTGTTAAATTTATTTTGAAAATATTTCTAGCATTTATTAAAGGGAGGAAACCAGAAAAATGCAACCAGTCTGGTACTAACACAATAACTATAGAGTTCATTATTAATAGTTGACAACACTAGCATGCTACTTCTGCTTGCTAAGTTTGACTGCTCAACTAAATGAGAACTAGAAATACGACAGATGGATGTATCAATCAACACACAACAAAATAATAATAATAAATGATTTCCTATAAGAGAGTCAATAGCAAAAAGGAACTTTATGTTAAACTTATGCAAAATAATAAAAGAATATTTATAATATCAGGAACTTGTGTGAGATTATCGATTTTGACGAACTATCTACTTTTCACCCAAACACATTATAGTAGGTTTTACCCTGTAATATTAACATACTAGATTAAGCAGATAGCTAGAGCAGTTTTAACTTCTCGCTATAGTAAAAACGATTCATGAAATTAAATCTCGTTAATGAGATAAATGTTGAGTGTATAATAAAAATTATTGATCTGACAGAATTTGTTGGTTTTACCAGTATTAATGGACACACTAACTTACGAATTAAAAGAGCAGAAGTTTAGTACGTACGCATAGAAATTCATCGTAAGAAATGTTTTGAAAATTAAGTCCGTCAAAGTCTCGTGGATTACGTGCTATCAACAAACTATGGATATAAATATCCATCAGAAACGAACAACTGTGCAGTAAAAACATGTTCACAGTAAATCAGTCTTCCCGTTAAGCAATATATTTCTTTGATTAAAACACTTTTATATACTGTAGAAGGAAGTTCTAAAGAAGCTCATGAAAAAAGAGCAAGAACTTAAGAAGCTGGAAGTAAAAGCAACAAATCAAGTATGCGACGTATTACCTAAATTAATACTGACATTCAGGAGAGAGAATTGAGGGAGGCAAATGATGAAAAACAAAGGCTTTATGAAGAACTAAGGAGAATGAAACAGGATCAAATTGAACGAGAAACGATCTTAGCAGAGAATAATAGGGAACTATTGAAACTTCGATGTGTAGAAAAGGAATATCAGGAATTTCAACATCAAATTTATGCAAACTCTCCACCTGCTAGTACTCAGCTCCCGAAGGAAATTCACGAAAAGGTGACTCAGACTCCCAAATCACCAGCGTTATCTTTGAAACTAGATAATTTGGTAAGGAAAACTTTTGTTCACGTTAAAACTTCGCCTTAGAATATGGCCGAAACGCCTACTAAAACCCCGAAGAGTATATTGAAACAACCAGGTTCAGCTACCAAACGTAGGAGAGTGTTTTTCGCTTCCCCTGATTATGGAAGCCTGATGAACAACCAGAAAGAGCCAAGCTATCAGAATCAAGAATGTGAACTTCCATTGTTTAAGAAATTGAGCCCATTCACAATGAATACACCTACAATTCAAAACCTTCAAACACTTGACAAAGTAAGTTGCTTGAGTATTTAAGAATTCCAATATATTGAGTTACAGTTATTTTAATGACATATATAATAGCAACCATTTCGAGGTTGTCTGAATGGCCGAAAAGAGATGACAAAGTTGTTTAAACGTTGTAAAGCTTAGTAAGGAATAATTTACAAAGTTGAGTAGGGGTAAATCTTAAGTATACGCGGAAAGCGTGACAAGTAGATCAGTATATTGAGCTGGAGACCTTAATGTAATAAGCACGAAACAGTTGAGATAAGTAATTGTTGTAAACAACGAGTAAAATGGTACCAATGTCAATTAATTAACATACAGATATGTACAGATAATTCGACTAACAATTGATATACAATTGCAAATATAGAAAACCCTACATAACAAGCAAAAGTAAACATTGAAATATTTTTTAGGTGACTAATATTCGGAAAACACCACGAAAAACTGGCCGTCAAATCACAGAAGAATTTTACAAGGTGGATACCGAAAAATCTTGGTTTGACTGTGAACAAATTTTCGGTTACGGGGCAGAAGATTGATGGTCAAGCTATCAAAATAAATGCTCTTTATTATTAAGTACATATGTACAACGTTATCATAAGTTCGTTAATAAAAAATTATACATAAATACAGGTTATTGTTACGTTAAGTGAATATCAAACCATATGGGAGCATGATCACTAACAAGACCATTTGCACCACTTCCTGTTTCCTCCGGAATTAAAGGATGTCTGAGCCCTTTTAATATGACACCAGAATCACCAGTCCAACGAATAGTCGATTCAGAAGTCAAAGAGAGGTTAGCAGAAAGCCATGCATTGTCATATGCTCTAAAATGGTTAGATCTGGATTTAGAATAATTCATGGTAGTTTGTTGTTCACCTTTGAGTACTGGCCATAAACCACGTTCACGTAATACCCGATAAACTTTTAAATAAACAAGTAGAGATAATCAGCATAACGAGGCAATAAATAAATCGAATCTAAATTAACAATGATGAGAGCCTTAATTAAAATTATGGAAATTATTTGCGTAATGTTCAAATTATGTACAAGCGAAAGTAAATAATGAACCTATAAGTGTACTAAATACAAATTCATAACGGCTCAGGAGTATCTGAGTGCTTGCATCTAACTGACATAAAAGATTACTTGATCCAATTACGTTTATTTAATTGGGAAATTATTAAAGTATTGCCTCCAATAATGTGGGAAGGATGAATCGATAACAGTTTGGAAAATCTTTTTATCAAAAATAATACTAGTCAATAAAATGAAAATACATATAAAACGTGGTTGTAATAAACACTGTGCTTCTTCTCTAACACAATAATTACTGCTAAAACTAATTCATTTGTAAATACAACAGAACCAAAATTGCTACTTAAGGTAGGTATTATGAAACTAACTTTGAACTGTTGCTGGAATTATTCAGATAGAGGCTCGTGCAATGATGAATATATTCAGGTTGTGTTGAGAGATTTCTTGTGAATTTATTCCTGTCAAAGCGTTAATTATCGTAAATAATGTAGCTTACAAATCAGTCGTGAGAGCCTTAAACCTCCAGGGATGTCTTTCAGCAGCGAATTCTTTAGACAACATCTATAATGACATTTACTTCAATAACCGTAGAAACTCTACATTCTTCTTTAAACTTTGTATCTCTCCACGTTTGCATATGACGCGTGCAAGTAACTTGGTTTAATTGATAAAAATTCTTACTGTATTAGTGTCCATTACTAAATCGATACAATACATTTAGTTGGTTAAATGTAATCCTTCAGAAAGTGACTCAATGGTATTTTTTACTAGAATGTTACATAACTTTTGACTACTTGACTTTGTTCCTGAAATTTCACTACACTCTACTTTGCACTAAGACTAGTCGTTCCTAAGAATACAGAGACAGATATGATTTTCATTATATCTTAGTTAAACATGGAGTTCTTGTTTTCCTGGAAATGTGAGAAAATATCTTCCCTGTAAAATGTGATCTCTCGAGAGTAAGTTTAAAAACGTTATGCTAACAATTTACTTCGTGGAAATAGAGTAATTTATTTATTTGAATGAAGACGACAAGTACTTGCTAAGAAAGTCTTAGTAAGAAAATCAACCGCCAGATATCTGGTTTGTTTCAGTTATTCAGTATTATCATTTTCAACTGCTCGGGTTGTGTTCAAATTCTGTTTTATATGAGGTTTATGCGACCCAGTAAAATCATTTATTATCACAAAATAGGTGGACACAAACTACAAAGTGAATAGGTGTTGCATTTCTTTACAACATGTAAATAACGTCACCTTATTGACGAAGCTAGTTAAGTGTAATACAAGAGAACTTGTAAGAGACGGATCATTTCTAGCTGTAACGCACATTCAGGGAAAAGCTGTGAGAAAAGTTCAGAACCTACCTGTATATCTCGATACTGTCACAAAACTTATTAATAGTTTGACCACTATCGATTCGCAACAGTAGACTACGATTAAATTGAAGACCATGAATACCAGCGTTACAAGCGAATTTTAGGTTTTTTTCTGAGTTTTTTAGATGGATATTGTTTTATGTAGATCCACGTATTAACAAATAACTTCCCAAACATCTGCATAGCAATACATTTTATGTGAAGCAAAGTGCCCGTAAATAGAATAAATTGCTTACAATTGCCAGTCTCACTAAAATTCCGCGGTTAGATTGTGAAAAACTTTCACTAGTTATTTCACGTAGAAAAATTCGCATAACAAAATACATATGATTTACTTCTAAGTCTATTCAGAGAGATTTAATCAGTTACATAGTTCCTATTTACTATGGATCTAAACTAACCTTCATGTGTTGGGAAGAGGTTGAAATCACCAGCTATAATGAGATATGTTCCCCCTGAAAAATAAATAACGATTCATATTAACTTGGAAATACGTTGTAGAGAAGTTTTTCTGTGGAAAAAATACGTGTAAGTTATTTAACAAACTTAAGGCTCGGAAATGATCGAAATATGTTGGTTTGCCTTTCAAAAAGTTAGGATTGTTTCCCTGACATTATGCCAGTTTTTGTGCGTCAAAATCTATTCGTCGGTATCATAGATTCATAAGAGTTATCGGTTAATGATACACATATTAAATCTAAAGGTCGAAAATGGACGACCCTGATTACAGCCATTCCACAAATCCAAAACATTATGAAGTGAATATTTTTAAGAACTACTGTTCATTGAATAACATAACTAGTTACTAAGCAAAAAACAATTCTTTGTTAGTGTTAAAAATAACAATGAGTTCCTTTAGTCATATACTACAAATATAACAAAAAGTCAAGAATCATTGGACTTGATAGTCTTAATAATCTTCACACGTAAAAATTTCGAACTGTTCGCCCTCGACAATCGTACGAAAACATTTAATCAAACACTAGTATACTTACTAGGTTGTGTTTCATAAAAAGCTTGAACAAGATAGCCAAGAGATTCAATTTCTGAGATAGTCCTGCCAATTTGACTATTTCTTAATCCACTTGCCTTCAAATGTACTGAAATGAGAACTAAGTTAATATGTTGAATCTGAAAGTAAATTAAAACAATCCATGTACATAGTGGTTGATGTCCAGATGGTAGCGTTGTACATATTTACAAAATGAGTGACGATGTCCCAACACATTTCAAGAGTAAGACTCTACGTGTAATAATCATATCAAAATAATATAATAACTGCCTTTGATCCTCACTAGCTCATTGATGAACAAAAATAAATGCCACTTCATAAACATATACACATGTATACTAAGAGATATGGGTAACATCTGTTGTATAAGGGCTGATGATGTAATCAAGTTTCTCGAATATTACGTACATACACTTCTCAAGTTTATGACGAAATAGGTTACTCAGTAATAACTTAGAAACTATGTAAAACATAAAAATGATAAGTAGTTGAATAGAAGAAAAGTAGATGAAATTACACAGACAAAGGTATAGCATATCACAGGCGATAGGGTTAAGAAAAACCAAAAATAAAACGCTGGAAAAAATAAGCAATTCAGTACTGGAAAGTGAGCCTACGAGAAGAAATCACTAAGTTTAATCAGGTCAGCCAAAATCATGGCACATGGTTTCATATTAAATTGAACAAAGGAAATTTTTTCAAACTAGCATCTGCTTTTAAACACCTTTTGTTACATACATGGCAGGAGGCTCCACATGGACTGCGTGTAAACGACTTTCTTGAAACAGGTAATGAGTTCGAAGACTTTTCCAATAAACTTGTCCGAGAAATCCGAATACCACATCGAGAATTATATAGAAAAACGGCATACTCTTTTGCACGGAACATGGAACCAGTTGGTTGGATCGAACTTGACGCTTTCCAGTACGGGGGAGTAGACAGAGGAAATTTTTCAACCCATCGTTTTACGTGGGGAAGAGATGGATAATTTAGCTCATTGCACAGCTAGAATGATTAGCAATATGTACGGGTAAAAATGAGGAAAAAAGTTATACAGTTTGATAAAATACTGCTGGGAAGAATCGTCAAAATAACCATGTTTTTAAACTAAATGTACTACAGAGTTTAGACTTACATTAACTGTGATCATATCTCAGCTCGTCACCAGTCCGGGCATGGATTTGTGGGATAGTAAGGGCGGATGTTTGAAGATACTATGCAAAATATTTCAAAACCAGACACAATGGTGCAAACATATCTACCATATATATAAGCTAAAATTGTAATCCTTTAGCCACAATCACCCTCACGTCTTATTAATATACTTATTTTTCCTAATTCCTTTTTACCGTTTTCTGTTTTACGTGGTGGATTATTTCGAAATGCAACAACTCGAATCCATGTCTTATCTTTCTAAGATCTCAAGAAGATAAATATGTACATTCCACTCTCAAAAAAACCAGCCAGCTGAAAATAATATTGTACACTGAATGCTATCTATTTACTATTGTATAACCTATATGCAACAAAGTTCTCGATCATCTGCAGTTTGACCAGATGAAAATTACAGACTGGTTACCACAGATCAACTCTCAGGAAAATAATGAACACGAAAAATTGTCGCAAATACATAAATAAGAAATACGCTACTGGTCGAGCAAAAGTGCAGACAAAAGTTAATAAACAAACCAATAATTATACGAATCACCCCTAATAAATAAACGTTAAAGGCATGTTATCTTAGCAACTATAAACACATACAGAGTAAAAATAACGTACGTATTTTTGGTTAAATTAAAAACCTTGTAATCACGTGCATTACTGGTCTGAAATGTTACACTGACTAATATAACAAAATATGAAGACAGTAAACCATACAAAATCAATGACTGTTATTTAAAGGATTTGCTATGAAATAAACTTGATGAGTCCAAAGTAACCTGTAGGATACTTTACCCAGTAATTATTCGTACATTCGTCAAAAAGAGAGCTGATGTAATGTTTTAGTTGTAACAATCCAAAACAATGTATCGAAAGACAACTTACATAATCAGCAACTAAAGGGTCTGAGACTTCTTGAAGCAATATTAATGAGACGTTCATTCGTAAAATGGTCAGGCAAACAACTTCCATGAATCCTGGATGTTTAGCTTTACTTAAACCGAAGCGGTTAAGGTTCCAAGATCCGATCCGTATATGCCTTTCTATAGAAGAAATACGTGGAAGTGGTGGATCAAGTTCATTTAATAGACCACATGAAGCAATTAAATGGAGCCAATTACGGATGCCTTCCATTCTCAAAACTAACTGAAGTTGGGAGTGAGAAAAGTCATAATTTTTCTCATCAGTTCTGTATTCTGAAAATTGAGAACTATAATTATTTACTGACTGAGGAAACGATTGCATAGAACAATTCTCCGACTTCCTATGTCCTTTTGTAGTATTCGAATGTTGATTATTGATCCTAAAAATTGGATTTTAACATCTTTCGATCAGACAAAACAGATTTTCACTATTTTTATTTAAATACTTACAGAGACGAGATATAATTTACTTACTTAATATCATGACTGGATTTATGCAATTGTTTGCCCTTTATTATGGTGCTTTTCAGCTTTTCAAGAAAAATAGTACTATCTGTATATTCATTCGATATCACCATGTATATTTCCTGAATTACGTAGTTGAGCTTGAAAGGCGAAAAGAAATATAATCATTTATTATTATATATTACAAAAGCTTATAAAGACCTAGATATCACAGACTTCATGTTTTTTAACAACAAACTGGTCTACTGAATATAGGAAAAGTCATAATGAATGAAACCCTAGACCACTGACTCTAAACAACGTACATCAAACTTGACAGTCAAGTCCAAACAGATACAACCTTAGTTATTTTATCGAGAGGTTATTCAGTAACGCGCTTTGGTTTACTTGCACTATTTATTTGGTTTCACATTTTTACAGCTATATGACTATCAAATATAATGAAATGTAAAGATATACCTGACGTTTGCACACTACATGCTCGACACTACTTATCGACCAAACGGAGAGATAAGTGATACGAACATAAGACTTACGCATGGCAGTTGGCTTTTAACTTTATAGGTTCACGTAAACATAGTATATGGATGTCCCAGAGAAAGCAAAATAGACTTACGAAAGTGCTGCTTCAGAGATATTATAGTGAATCATCATATTTCGAATAACTGTAGGAAGCTTTTAAAAGGGTAGGATAAAATAATTTTAATGGTTTCGGGTCAACTAGCCTAAGCTTAAAAACATCAAAAAGTTTGAGAGATGTTTCCTTTATTTTAGAACTACTAGGGTATCAAAGCTAAGAATGAAGTTTCATAAGTCCTGGATTCATTGATTATTTAATGAGATCGTTTGACCACAGTAAGAAGGGGAAATTCACAGATATTTAGTTGGTTAAAGGTTACATCATCCTCCGGAACGCATAGGCAGTTGTATCATACGAATAACAGTTATAAACCTCAAATCTGAGTTTAATGACGAACTGTAAGAGTATCACATGTGCCATCTTAAGGATTACTAAAACACGTGAAAATCTTTAGGAGTGGTCTCTTATCCTACTTGATTCACTTTACATTAGGTTCATTTTCGAAGGGTTGATTACTAAATCCTATCTAATATTGTGAGCATAAAGTGATTGAATACTCGGAGTTCCAAGAAAGAATTTTAAGGAATCTCTAACAATTAGGGCTTTTGTGGAGTATTACTTAATAATTTTACACATTTGTTTGATATCTCGTGAATTTCGACCAAACCGGTGCTTTCCTGTAACTCTCCAAAGAGATCACAGGCTTCACGTTACTAGTCACATGTTTTTTATCTGTTTAAATTGCAACTCTTCCAACCCTGTAATTAATTCACATACACGTAATATATCCGGTACATAGATAAGAGAAGTCAACAAGCCATAATCCAGGAGGATATGAGAAATTTCCTAAACTGCCACACTATATAAGTTCGGCCCGAAGGCCCAAAACTTGTATCAAGTGTTTTTATATTCATCGGCTGACTTATATAAAACCATTGATCTTATGTCCTCACTATCCTCCTCAGTAAGTTCTTTAAGTAGTACAAAACTTGCAGACAACGTACGACAGTACGGTAATACACTGAGCACTTGTACCGTGTGTAGGCGCCTTCTGAAACATTCGAATAATATTCCAAGAATTCGGTCCCCAAAAAGCAAGCTTAAGGTTTCAACCCCATTTGACGTATTTTAATTTAGGCAGCCGAGCAGTAGTATCACTAGGACTGAAACAACGTGGCTCTAATTTGTGCACAAAACCTGTGCCTAGTAAATCACTGAAACTCACTATTTTAATACACTCAGCTAACCCACAAACACAGGTAGCATATGCTGACCAAATGCGAGTGAATATTAAGTACCTGTCTTGAGGTTTATCCTACTAATACCGAAATTCGGAAGCCAAATGAATACTTACCATTCAGGTCGTTAACTGATATCAGGCAACCGAAAAGTAACGAGTCGGAGCTGTCTCGGTCGTTTGGGTTCAAAGAGGATCACTGAATTACATTTTCTTCACTACCATAAATTTTTAATCCACTTCCACAGTAAGTATGAACAGTTTTCTATTATCGCTGATATCTGCCGTCTGCGTCTCCCATCACTCACTACTACTCCCTTTTTGACCAAAGATCTGGCAGTCAAGAAATTATCAGAAATTAAAGCCTAGATGGAAATGTTGCGGTTTGTTTTTGTGACAAAACCGCTGACGTCGAGAAACTTATGTTCATATGTACCTAAGGGACTGATGAACTACACGACAGTTGAATTAACGCTTGGTCATACTATGGACAAACATGAGAAAAATTATTAATTTATTCGGAAGTTAGATATATGCTGTTACAAACAGATTAAAATGGTAGACAGTATTATAAAGGCGTATTTCTAACTAACCTGTTCATTAGTTTGATTATCTGCACTACTGATATAATACAGGATTTTTTTAAGAATTTCAGCATTTTTCTCTGTAAGCCTGTTTTTGAAACATCGCCAAAAGCACTAAAATATAGCAAACAATGCAGAGTATGCTAACCACACTTTGAGCTAGTGACTAGTGGTTCTCAATAGACTAAACAATCAAGAAATATAGACAAGCAGAAGACATGATTTGTTGTGCTCTCCTCAACCTTAACGGATGAATTTCACTAATCACTGAAGTCAACAGTGAAATAAGTTTCATGTAGAAAATTAACTAACTTCAATGTTTCCTGCTTCCTAACGAACTTTATAAAGAGAAACAGGTAAACTAGAGGGAATCTTATTAAACAAAAATAAGAAGTTATTAAGTAATGGGACAAAAATAATCGCGGTAATTCCCACAGAGAACTCAGTACACTGTATTAATCACAATAACCGTGCTTATAGCATCGTTTCAACACTTCCACAGAACCGGAAAGCAAATTAGTTGCTGAAAGTCTAAATTTCTGCCCATATGGAAAGCTGAACGAATAAACATCCGTCTCTCCACTTTATACGTCTGAATCCATTTACCTACTGTACACATTGATCCATGAGCAGTCCTAAAAACTTAAGAATAATGCTGAATTATATTTAGCTCCTAACAACAGACCTTATTGTCACAACTTACACTAAGACAACAAGCGATAACATAGGTATAAAAGATTCAAGCTTTACATTAACGCTAAACTAATTTATTCTGTAACTGCACATTCTTTGGTTTGGTGTTACTAGAGGTTGTAACTGTAGCTTGGTTCTTTAAGTACTCAACTTTCTATTTTTAATTAACTAGTTTGAATTCTCATTTATTTTATTTAATATTAGAAGGCAACTGATGTACCTCAACTTCAATAAGTGTGACCAACGGTAGAGTACAGAAAATTTTACTGTTTAATGCTTTCCTCTTAATAATAAATAAATTGGAAGTACGATATTAATTATAAGCCCCTAGTCTTGTATCTGAGGTGCTCTATAAACAAGGAAAAGTGACCATTGAAATAACGTTAAAAAAGAGGGAAGATTATATGGTATGAAATAGGAAACAAGGATATATATAAAAGGATACAGTTCACACAATACAACCATGAAATATATATCAGATGGTTTTACCAAAGTTTATACGTTAATAGTAAACTACAGTATGATCAATACTGGTTTCTACTTTGATTCATATTTGATAGCATCAAGGTTATTATATCTAGTTTGAACACATTATGTATTGAATATTCGGAATATTTTTCACTTACAAAACACCAAGCACAGTATATGTCGGAAGACTAGCCTTTATGCCTTGAGGTACCCCAGCCTACTCCCGCAAAACGTTTGATGATACAATTAGATTTCTACTACAAGAAATCTTCCAAAATTTGTGTACGGATCAAGTAACTCAGTAGTCGAAGCGTCCTAACACGTCGGAAGTGAAAGCTGAATCTGATAACTACCAGAAGCCATTTCAACACGGCCGAGCCCACCGGCAACAATTCTGGTCTAAGTAGAACGCTCTATGTAGTCGATGGCACACCATTTATTAGCATCCAAAGGCATCTTGGATGATGACCTGTTTTTGAGCAACAACTGTGTTGGTCTGTTGCTCAAACAATGTCAAAAAGACCGTTCTATTCTCCAAGGTTCGCGACTACTGATACACCTAATGAAGTGATCACCAAGGAGCTCTAGTTTGTAAAGCACTACAAGTCGCCGGGTTCAGATGACGTATTCCCGGCTATTTTAAAGGAAGATGGTAAACCTCTAGTCATGAAAATGGTTAGGTTGTTTGGAAAGGTTTGGGAACTAGTGTTCTAACATCCTAAAATAAGGCGATGTCGTCCCCATCTTTAAAAAAGTCCTACGTTCTTTCCAAAAACTTCCGGGGGATGATTTCATTTTCGACTGCGTTCACAATATTTGATTACGTCAAACTCCACAAACTATGCAAAGATTGTGAAAAACTGACTCGCCATTTACAGGCCCATTTTTTGCTTGTGTCGTGAATATATTAATCGTGTTCTTCCCTCAAAAGCCTGAGACACCACTTACTGGAGTTCAACAATCACTGTTTTAGTTCAGCTCGGGGCTACCTTTGACTCAATGGACAAAACTGAAGTCCCAGATCATCCGCTTAAAAAGTGTACGCGTACGAGTTTTTTTATTAAGGCTTTTTGCACAGATGACTTGATCAGAGTAACGACACACATCTCCTGAATGTATCGTTCTAAAAGGATTCGTCACTGACATCTTGAAAAACAGCTCTGAAGGAAGTACTCAGTGGTGGTGCATCTGATACCTGGACTTTCCAACCCCAAATATGTACATGGAATCGCTTTGCTGTATGGTGATATACAATGAACCCAAAATATGCTTAATGAATTTTTAGTGTCTGTAGGTACGGCATGTACTATGTAATTTCCAAACGCAATATACTCCAAAGATTATACAATTTTATGCACTCATTCTTTGTGATGAGCTTTTGGAAGCGACTAAAAAGCCAGTGCATCTACGTCATTTTGTACTGATGTTTAAGTGACAAATGAAATTCAGTCAGTCAGTAACAACGTAGAACTTCGTACGTACGTACATCAGTTCGAGTTGCCACACCACATTAGCACAGAGATGCTGTTGTCGATTCAAATCCCGTAGTGGTAGAGGTAATAAGAGTATAAGCAGTAATCGGGAAGATTAGGGTTTGGAGATGTTATTTAAAGAGTATAATCCAGTGAAATAAATTTAGAAAGAGGAAAAAAGGGACATGAAGAATTCAGAAGATTAGAATTTGGGAGAACACAGAGAGTGGATGCACCTGCGCCATTGCAAACGATTTCGAACCATGTCATTCAGGGTCTCTAACCATCGGTTGCTATCATCTCACGGTCCCCAACCAGGTAGTCTACACTTACTAACATGACTCAGTCCACTTGTCAGTGACCTCATGGACTTGTTCTATGTTTTAGTCTGGCCACCCCTAGCTTTCTTCCAACCTACTCCTATACCACTGAACATCGCACGTCGAGGCAGTCGGTCGTTGGGCATACGTAACACGTGTCCGACAAATGAAATTAATCTATGCATTATCCAAGCCAGAGCCCTACATCTCAATCTAGGCCATCTTTCGTGTCATCATTATGTTATTCTGGTTGTAAAAGTTCGAGTTCACAACGCGCCGGTGAGGTCAGTGTCGATCTATATTGGTTGAGCACTAGCTGGCACAACGCTATCAGACATAGCTCAGAATGGAAGCTCGTAGAAACTATAGTAGTTTTATCTTAAATTCTCCAAAATAAGAACACGTTTGACTGAAAAAATTTTCTTGGTTGTGTTTTTAACTCAGCAGTAACTCCTACATACTATGCTTTTTGTTTACTTATTTGATTGTGCTCCCTTTCCCTCGCTTATTCCTTCACAATCCCACCTTGATTTTGTCCATTTGTACCAGATTTTAGAATTAAATAAATAAAAATGGATGAAATTACCCACAGTCGAGACAAAGCCAATATAATCAATTAATTTTACAAGTTGGAACCCAACTTTGATTTGCATACTAATGAACTGCGTTAGATAAAATCAGAATATTAAGAGCTCAATCCAAATCAGTTTGACAAGCATTAAATCCATCCCTTAGCCACAATTAATTGGAAAACTAACATTTGAAAACTGAATGACTCAGATGAAACTCATCTGGATACTTTAAATTATTGCCTTATAATGTACTTACGAAACATAACCCCTCACTATACATTTGAAAGCAAACAGCTTATGAGAACTAACTAAGCAATCGGCTACCCCCACCAAATACGAGCCACACATCATTGTTGTCATACCACACACTAAGCAGTTACTGGTTTTGTAAAATCAGGCAGCGTGATTACTGACCAGATGTTGACCCAGTATAATCCAACTGACACTAAAACTTATAAGCCGCACACGAAATAAGGAAGTAACTTTATGATTAACGTGTTTCAAGATCCTCTACCAGCTACTGTAAGTATTAAAACCACATGATCATGATACAAGTTTGACTTTTGTCAGGAAAATAAAAGAAAGTTGATTATTTGAAAAGACGACCTAAAAGACCAAAACAGGGGTATTTATGTGAGCCACCAGGATTTTGAATTTTCTGACAATCTGACTTAAAGGCTAACCCCAGATGGGAATAAAATATATCTAAACTTGCCACTATTCAGTGCCAAGGTTGGACTTGAAAGTTTCAAATAAATTGAGCATTAAGTAGAAAACTAATAATAAACATAGTTTTTGTTAAATCCGAATGGGTAGGAAAACTGTATTTCTGACGTTTCGTGACTACGGATACCTTATATTCTCCAGCCTTGGAATTCTCCCGACGGAGACTTATCTACGGCAGACGTTTGAGGTTGAGTAGCGTCGAATACCATGTCTTATTGATTACGATGAATCACTGCTTTTAGTTTCATAGAGTGGTCAACCCGTCATGTTGCTGAGCACTTACTGAAATGATGTTCACAGAAAATGAGATGTTTGTTAGAGTAATTCAGTCTGGAATTGGGAGAAAATATGTATGTTAAAGAGAAAATACACCCGTAATCAATGGCAAACATAACGAGAAAGGGAAACAGACATCTGGAATCCAGCCGCAGTCAGGTGAAAATAACAGGCGAAAGGAAAAATACTGCTTCGCCGTGGTATTTTGGTTTATTCCCATCTTCCATATTACTTCCCTTTTCTCGTCAATACAAGTACACTCCCTCAGGTCTCATAACACCATTTTCCTGTTTAAACAAAACCTATCACATTGATGTTAGTTATATACGTCACTATGTTGAGAAATATTACTTCATTGTTTTACTAACTTAAAGAGGAGACATACAATACAAAAACAAGACATCGTCCTTGACTCTTCAAAAGTTGGTAGCGTTTCAATATCCAAGCAGAGTTACTTTGTCGAGAGAGCTAAAGATGATTTCGCTTTGCGAGCTTGCGTTTCCAGTAGTAACGAACGATCTGGGTCCCTGTTTAGGAACCTAGGTATATTAAACAAAAGCCATATAAGTATTGGTAGACTAGTTTTAAATACTATCTTTAATGACTGTATGTCGAGTATCCACTTATAGGACCTCTGTGAATTCTCTCGAGCCACTCCATTGAGTAGCGAACTCCATAAACTGATGGCTCTTAAAGGGTGGAAAGTATTCTCAAAATAAATTTTACTACTTTGTGACCTCAATTTTTGTTTCTTTCCTCCAAGTTTGTGGTATTGCTGAACTTAATTAGGTATTTTATCCGATTTTTGTGATACCGTTAATCGTCGACATGTCACCTCTGAGTGGCCTACACTCTTACAGTTTAAAATCCGGAAATTTAAGGCGTTCTTCCTAAGGCTTGACATTTAGTGCTCAAACTAGTTTCGTGGTTCACATGTGGATATACTCCACAGCATTCTTGCTCTCCGTGAGGAGGAGAGGAGTGCTATATTTCCATGCTTTAAATGCAGCTGAGTAAAACTGTAAAAACTAATAAGGATAATGCCGTCGAACTGGAGAAAAGTACACTCAAGAGTTATGAGTACAAATTTTTCTCTTATGATATCCAAGCATCGATTAGCTTCAGGATTTAAATCATTGGGTACCAAAACACCTAAATCTTTTTTAGCATTTGAATCTTCTAAAGGGGATAGCCGAAGTTATTTTTGCAGTTCACTCGGTTAGAAATGAGGTGTCTACAATTCAAATGGTAAGTAAGTCTACTGCTCATCTTATATAAGCATTACAACCTGAGGGATCTGAAGAGTATTCAAGTGATCCCGTTCATCAGAGATGACAGTAGGATGGAACTACGGATTACCAGGAATAATCCTCTCAAGGTTATAGAAGATGATTACGTATATGTTAGTCAGTATAATAATGGATTGGTCAGCCATGAACTTAAGTTCTGTCTTTGTGAGATGTATTTGAACACGGAGAGAAAGAAAACTGACGGTGGAATTATAGCTTATCATCAAACAGCATTAGCTGCAATAATACTAATCGATTTGTTAGAATTCGAACGTGCCACCAATCACCACATATTCAAGTGTACTGAAACACTTATGCACCACAGTGGTCGCGCTAGTCACTTGAATTTTTTGGCTGACAAATTTATGATCTATCATTCCCAGTGTATAGAACCACGATTTGAAGAATGCGAGTTTCACGAATGTAAATTATTGTCTCGATGCAATTTACAGTATTCAGACGTAACTAGTGTACCATTTTTAATTCAAAGAATCTATTCCGAGCTCAAAGTTCTTGGCTGCTTTTTCTCTCCTGACTTCACTCCAATTAACAATAAGCTGAGGCCTTGATTCAGCTTACTGTCTGTTGCTTACAGTTTTTTTCGGGAAAAAAATCAAACTTTTTGTGTATGGCAAGCCTCTTTATCACTTTATTTGCTTCGTTTTTATTCGCAGTTTTATGCACTTCCAATAACTCTTCATGGTCAGTTGTGTATTATCGCATCTTTGACGAAACCCGAAATGGTTTCTTCACAACACTTATGTAACCATAAGATGTTTGTGAATAATAACAATAATAAGTGTGGTTTCATGAAGCGTTTGCAAGCATTACGGTTACTATTTACCTTGTAATCCATATATCTGATTGCAAATGGGTGTATAGCACCTGGTAAACAGATGCTGATATCAGTGAGTAATACCAAGTTGTGACCGAGAAATCTGTCAGCGAACTAGAACAAAATAGGTCCGAGACGTGTATATAAACAATATGTGATTGAAAGAACAGGAACTCCAACACCAGTGTCAGTTGACCAAGCGCTAACGCCACTCGAAAAATCCCCCAGTATTGCTTGTCCAGAAGCTACATTGATCAGTAGAACATTATTGAACCCCCACAATCAGGGTTAAAATAAATCAGAGATCGCTTTTGAAAGTGTTAGAAATCCCTTCTGGTGAAAGTAGCAATCTGCCCATAAGTTATTCTAACCCGTGGATAAGTTGTGTGAAAATTAAAAGGGTTGAGGTCAAAGGGACCTATACATCAATGTAGACAGTCATCTAAAGAATAGATCACGGTTCATTATGAAAACCATGTAATTATGAACATGTAGTCTACTCGGATGTCTCTCTTTCTATAACACAAAAATTGTGAAATACCATGAGATTTAAGTAGAAAACACGGTAGTAACTTCTTGCCCGAAGTATTCTTGACCAAAGTGAGAACGAAATACGATGCCATTAACTACCGCTGGTCCCCAAACCAAAACGAATGATTCAAGTGGTTGTGGACAGAATAGAAGCTTTCGCTTAACGGGCTTCCGCGTCTCATTAGCACAAATACTTTCGAAGTAAACTCGGCGAGAATATAATTTATGGACGAACCAACCACGTATAAGATAACTGATCTTGCATTTTGGGGCGAAATTCACTCATTCATTTAGATAAATACAGTTTTGGCATTATAGCTGATGTCAGCTCGTGATGAAAACTCGAAATCTAATTCCTAACCTTGGTCATCAACTGCAAATTATAGTTATAATTCCTCACACAGGTTTATAACCCTCATATGGTCCTGGTTATTAAGTGGACACTTTCAGGGTCAGTCTAGCATCGCTCAAACGGTTATGGACAGAATAGAAGAAGCTTTCACTTGACGGGCTTCCGTGTCTAGTAGCAATGGATCATCAATACTTACAGGCAGAAACCCAGGTATATTAACGATAGTAGAGGGAAAAGAAATTGGTCAATCATAGTAACATATTATCCTTAGTCCTTAAGAATAGGTCAAGTTTCCTCTTAAAGGACTACTGAGAAGTCTCTTGGATTAGTTCAGCTGGCGGTGAATTCCAGCATTTGACAGCCCTTAAAGAATGGAAGTTTCGTTTACAATCTGTTCTACTGTGTTGTAGCTCCAGTCTCTGAGTGTTAACCCTTAGGTTTGTGGTGGAGTGAAACGTAAGTAAGTGTTTAAGGGGATGTCCAGAAGTGTTGAGGATGCTGTAAGTCTGTCACATTACCGCGCTCGTTTCAAAAAGGGCAGCGGTGTTTGTACTTGTTGTGATTATACTTGCTTTGGGTACTTATTGCACCAAAAAGCATTCTTGGTCTACTTTAACTAGAAGTACTTTGGCTAAAGTTTGAAATTTTTGCTAAATTCTGTCCTGGGTACCTTTGTTTACTCGTTGACTAACACTTGTGTTCACATTGTGATCAGTTTGTGTTCTTAAACCTTTTGAATCAAATTACAATGGTTGGTAAGACTCACAAATATGTGCAACCAAATTGTTTGTTCCCCGTTGAGGAGGGAATGCAGTGTGGTACCACAAAATGTGTACACGCCTAAGACCGAAAGCCTACAAAAGATGCTCAAAGCCTAACTCGCATTGGCTTTGTATGTTCTGCTGTACGGATAAAAAGGTACTAATTCAGGAGGCTATGGGCCTATGGGCTTTGGCCTGCAAGAAAACCGATGGCGGAAGCACTGGTAACAAGGGCACTGATGGTGAAGAATGTGCCAGTGTAGTAATTGCTGCTACTGGAAACGTTAAACATCTGACTGTGGTTGACGGGAACGTGAAGTCTCCGTTGACATTAACGAGGAATGATATTGACATTGATATTGACATCGGCAGTCATATACCTCTAGTAGAAATAGGAGATCCGGATAAAACTGTCACCGTTCCACATAGTCCAGGTGTGGCTGTCCCGAGTGGTGGTAAATGAACTTCAGTAAGGAGAAAAAGAAATGGGAAGAAAAAGGCTGTGGGCAAAACGCAGCTGGTCAGCAAGGCTTTGGAAGGGATGTTATCAGAAGAAAAATCCTCACTGCGTGACAAGACAGATCTCTCTGAGAGATCAGTCATTTTTCATAAGATAAGAGAATCTTCAGATAAAGAACCAAAGGCGAGATTTGAACGCGATCTCAATCATATTAAGATATCATTAAGTAAACTACTCCTAGATACAGTTTCAGGAGTCAGTATTTGTAAGCTTTATAGAATACAACGAAAGATGGATTCTGTAAGTCCTCCGAAAAACCGCCTCCTGAAGGTTACATTCAACACGGTGGAAGAAAGGAACCTGATTCTAAGTAATTCATGTAAACTGATTGGATCCGGAATATATGTCCTTGAGGATCTCAGCCTAGCTGATCGCATTAAGAGACAAGCTGCAGAAACGGAAATAAATGAGCGTCGCCGAAACGGGGAACGTAACCTCATTCCTAAGGGTTTTCAAGTTGTAAATGTTCGGACCAAAACGATCTTCAAGTCACTCTGGGTGGCAAGGAAAAGCTCTCCACAGACTTAAAGGTATGCTGCACAAATGCTCTCAGCCTACTAAATAAAGTGGCGAACCTCAAGTAAATGGTGGATAAAGAAAAACCGGACGCTATTGCTGTCTCGAAAACCTGGTTAACATCAGAAGTATTAGATAGTGAAATCCAGTTGACTGGTTTCATAACCAGTAGGGCTGATAGATTAAAGCGAAGGGGAGGCGGGGTTATTCTGTACACAAAAAGTACTCTAACTATAAAATTAGCTGAGACAGTAGCACATGTTTCAGGGACATGCAAACTGGTGAGATGTAAGTTGAAATGCCGACGGCAAGATATTGAATTAGTTGTAGTATATCGCAGTCCAGAATGTGTAGCAGATGATTTCATCCTAAGTAAACTTAAGTCCTGGTGTAACAACGGTAAAAGCCTTATAGTAGGCGACTTTAATACACCATATATAAACTGGGTTAACTTAGAAGTAGGGTCATCGATATCGTCGTTCGACTGCAAACTGTTAGAAACCTCTATTGGATTAGCATTATTCCAACACATTAGAGATCCCACAAGGTATGACTTAAGAAACTCTTCTTCCATTTTAGATTTAGTCTTCACACACGGT